TAAAGAAATGAGAAAAGAAACAAGAAGAGAGACAACAGCAGTGGACAAGAAAACCTGCAACAGTGGCAGCTACGAACAGAACAAAAAAACAACAAAAGAGATTACAACAGCTGTTGGAAGGAAAAAGAAAAGAAACAAGAAGAGAAACTACAGCAGTGGCAACTGGAACAAGAAAGGAAACAAGAAGTACAAATGGAAAACATTAGTAAATTTCATAGCGATTTAAATACAGTAAAGGATGATTTATTGTCTTTTATGCAAGGAGGATATATTAACTGTTGACTTAATCAGTCCCAGACAATGGCAAGCCCTTTCCACACCCTGCAGCTAAGCCCTAATGCAGACATCTTCAGTCCTGTCAGAAGTCACATTCCAGATATGAGTGTCAGCAATAGGGTGATCTAGTATGAAGAAAGCCACAGGAATTCGATGGGAAGGCACCATGGAAAGCATATAGAGCACAATTTGAGCTCCTGGCAGAAATGAATGGATGGACAGAGGAGAAGAAGGCAGTGTACCTGACAACGAGCTTGAAGGGACAACCACTGGAAATACTTGGACAATTGTCAGCAGATGACAAGCACAACTATAGAGCACTGGTAGCTGCTCTTGAACTCAGGTATTGAACCCAAAATTAGTCCGAAGTCTACAGGGCTAGGTTTAGGACTAAAGTCCATGCTAAAGGGGAGAGCCTGCAAGAGCTGTTACAGGACTTGGAAAGTACGGCACACAAGTCCTACCCAACTGCACCACCCAATGTCCTCAAGCTGTTGTTGAGGGATCAGTTTATAGATGCCTTGGACAGTCAACAACTGAAGATACAAGTGAAGCACGCACACCCCTTTAGTATACAGGATTTAATGGCCAGAGCTTTCGAATTTGAATCCTACGTTAAGTCCAGCATAGAGGTTACAAGGTTGGTACAGTCATCTGGATTCAAGGCCAGAAAAGGTCAGCTTTCAGAGAGGTTTGAGGGACTTTGCTGGCACTGTAACAAACCTGGGCACAAGAGAGTTCAATGTTGGAAATTTCAACACAGGGAAGATGCCACAAAGGACATATGATGAGCCAGTGTAAGAAGAATACTATCTATAAGTCAGCCTCGGGGGAGATCAGTAGTGGTTGGTGTTGAGGGATGCCCACCAACCCCATCATGAAAGTCCGAACAGCTAGGTGTAAAATGTCAAGCACACATAGTGTCTACATGACAGGAAAGCTGGATGGCCAAAGGTGCAACTTTGTCATAGATTCTGCATCTCAGCAAACCCTTGTGAGCATCAAGGTGC